CTACGTACGATGTCTTACTACTACTACTACTTGGAATGGCCAACCCCAGTCTCTTTCGGATTTCCATCTCCTGGTCACGGGAACCCCAATTCAGGACCACAAACGACGACACGGCTGCAGTAAAAGACGCTGCCTTGGCTTCTAACGATGAATTCATGGATGCTGTTGATGGGTTAATTGAGTAGTACAAGACAAGAAAAATGAGACAGCATACATGGCGCTCAATCAATGCATGCGATGGATCCATTGACACCAAAGCTCGCAGAATTTCCAAATGGGTGAATGTGAATGACGTGTTTTCTGGAAAATGAAACGGCCAGCGAGTCCCAATGATTCTCCCTTGCCACCAAGATATTTACTTCATACGATTTTAGCAAAAAGTGACTGAACTCCGAGAGCATAAAGTAGGAGCAAGTGTGCATCTAGAGGAATGTACCGCGGATCCGAAGAACTCGCACCTCTGCAGTCCTCATTCTTCATTCCTCTTCCAACAGCACCATGACGAGCAATGATAATGGTCACCTACAGATGGTTACTAGAGCTACACAAGTGCATTGCTCATGTTTTCGCTTTTGAGTTAGACCGCTGCGGTCGCACTGGTGCTGTTCGTTTCAGCGGTGGCCGTCACCAAACAGCCTCGTATTTTAATAGTAGTCACGAGTAGTGGACTCGTCACTCTGTTCACTACACGATCCCAACCACTGCACATGCCACAAAGGCAAGAAGCATCAACAGCCATGTGAAAAAGCAAGAAAAACTTAAAAACGGTTGGGCACAGCACGGAGAAATGGCTGCTTGGCCGCAACCAGTACATGTATCGAACCACGTCGTTCCTCCGGATGACACTGACGGCAACGTCGTAGTAGACTCCCCTGTCCACTACAAGATACCTACCACTCTGCCACAAACACAAGTATCCAAGAAACATCGGCATCACTGTGAAAGCAAATCAATTGAATACGCTATTGCAGAAATGGCGGCTTGGCCGCAACCAGTGGTGAACAAATTCGTTCCACTGTACTAGTATGGCACTAATGATGCCACAAATCAGCCATGCATTAAGAGCTCTTTTAAGAGCCACACAAGAAGACACCCACAAGAAGACATGATCTTCTTCCTTTCCCTGAAGAAACAATTGGATAGCTACTTGGTTCCACTCGTGACTTCATTGCCCACAAGAAAGAACGAAACTTTTGCTCAAGAATTCTGTAGTCCTCTTTTGATTTCGGCACCCAGACCATCAGAAAGGATACCACAGGAGACTCACACTGCCTTGGTGAGGGACCGGATGTTTGTGAATTGTACCAGAGCACAATGACTTTGAGCCCTGGGACATACTTCTTCCAAGAAATTACACGAAGGCTGTGCTGGCCTACTGCACTACGTTTCGGTTGAGCGTCCACAGTGATACAAGAGACTCATGTCATGAGGGACAGAATGTGTGTGACTTCCTTTGGAGCGCAACGGCCTTGAGAAAACGCAAAAAGGCCCCGCAACAAAAATACGCGGAAGCTATGCCCAAAATTTTGGGACACCGCGCTGGTTCGAAACTGACATGGATCACGTGAAACCACATCATGTTTGTGACTTCTCCCTCTGGAGCACAATGGCCTTGAGCAGATCTCCAAGAACTCCACACTGAAGAGATCCGGAACATGCCCAAATCAGAGGACCAAAAATCAGCGTTGGCGAAGCCCCCAGCAGAAATTCCGCCCTTCAGAGCGACGTACAGAACAGACCAGGGCCCGGACACCAGCACTCCAACAATGCCCAGCAAATACGCACACAATTATCCTCAATCAGAGGATATGCGAGAGAACACCAGCCACATTGAATCCAGCCAGAAAATGCAAAACATCTTCCCAATCAAGATCGATGGTACAGAACACAGGCCTAAGACGCAACGCAACTCCACATTACCAATCAGATCGAACCCACGCAGAAAGCAAACACATGTCCCATCTCAGAGCATGTCAGAACCATCATACACAATGCAAAAACCCATGTCCCAATCAGAGAGGTCAGAACCAGCCTTGGAGCAGCACTCCATCATAGTTGCTAGCAGTTTAAATGCAAACACATGTCCAATCAGAGCATGCAGAGCCAACCAGGCCTGAGCAGCACTCATACAAATGTGGCCCAGCAGAAATGCAAACATGTCCCATTCAGAGGATGTCAGAACCAGGCCAGTGGCCCAGCAGAAATGCAAAACATGTCCCAAACAGAAGATGTCAGAACCAGGCCCAGAGCAGCACTCCAACAAAGTGGCCCAGCAGAAATGCAAAACATGTCCCAAATCAGAGGATGTCAGAAACAGGCCCGGAGCAGCACCACACCACCACAGTGGCCCAGCAGAAATCCAAAAACAGCTCACCATTCAGAGGACGTCAGAACATAGCCAGACCCGGAGCAGCACTCCAACAAAGAGGCCCAGCAGAAAAGCAAAACAAATTTTCCCAATCAGAAGACTTCAACCAGCCTGGAAGACAAAGCACCCATCAAAGTCCCACGCAGAAAACAAAACATGTCCCATTACACAGATAAGATCACAACAGCCAGCCTGCCCCAGCAGAAAATGAAACCATGTCCTAATCCAAGGCCCTCTGGACAGCATCCATATAAAAGCGCCCCAGCAGAAATGCAATAAATCATCCCCAAATCCAGAGAATTAAACACACGCCTGCGGGGAGCGAGCACTCCGCCATAAAGTTGTGTCCCAGACAGAGAATCACCAATACAATCCATACGTCCTACATGTATTCAGAGGATGTCCAAACCAGGCCCGGAGCACATCTCTATCTATATGCCCACAGAAAGCATACAAACATTCCATTAGCGAGATGATCGTTCCAAACACTCAGTCCTGCGTCAGTAGCAGCCTCACACTCTAAGATGGCCCACAATGCAAAAATGTACGCTAATCATATATATCTATCTCTATCTATCTACCAACACATAGCCCACATGAGCAATCCAAACAATCTAGAATCAGCCCACATTAGATAAGATCGAGTCAGTTCTCTATATATATAGGCCCTCCAGCAATCTATTTGATCCGATT